GCTGCCCGGACGGCCCGGGAGGTGCGAGCATCCCGCTGCCGCCTGCCTCCGGGGTAAGGAAGAGTGCTGTTCTGGCCTGCGGAGTGACGGGGGAATGCTTGTTCAGCTTTTTGCGAAATGCCCACGGTGTCAGCGTTTGAAATTGAACGTGGGAAGCACGGAAAGCAGATGGAGAACAGAATCTCTGCTGCAACTGTGGCCGTTGTTTTTCCCTCTGACCTATGATGCTTCCTGCTTTTAACATTATTTTACAGTAAATTTGTCAGCTTATCTTTATTAAAAATACTACAGTTTTTCTTTATTTTGAGGTAACTAAATTGTGTGCCTTATACTGAGAGAAGGAAAAAAAACCCCACTGCCTCTATAGCAAAAGGCTGGTACCTGTAAGTTCGGAGCACCATGAGTCAGTGGTGGGGCTCTGCCTGCCCTGCTGTGACCTCTCAGCCTGGCTAGGCAGCCACCCCACGCGTGCACCCGCAGCGCTTCGGGGCTGGGTTTGTTAGGTGACCTGAGGCAGGAGCCTGCTGACAGAGATGCTCCACCTCCGAATCCGAATGAGTGTAACAGAATAGGACTGTGCGTGCAAGCCTCTAGTACCGCCAGAGAGGAGGTACGCTGTAGGCACAATTAAGGTCAGCTCTAGACGAGTGGTGGGCCGAGCTCAGCAAGAACACATCTGGACAAATCAAAATTCTTGCAGAATGTTAGTATAACCTGTGCATTTTCATTATTCTGTGATAAATGGAAAGAAAGAAAAGATCTGGCTCATAATTTGCTACTCAGCTTTTGCTAATTCCTGATTTAAAGGTGTAAAATGTGAGGAAAACAGGAACAACGCTAGGAAAGGAATTTATAGCTGAGCTCAAATTTCATTAAAGGAAGGACTTGTCAACCCCCCGAAAAGATTTTGAGTGTGGTTATAACGAAGGTGTAACTAAGGTGTCTCTTCATCACGTTGTTTTATTTCACCACTCTGTGTGTACGTGGTTGGTTTAAAAAAGTAAATAACGTTTATAAAAAAAAACCCAAATGTTTTTGCTTTAAAACTTTATTAAAATGTTGTCAATAACTCATAGATGAATATTTAGGGAGTCAAAAATTGTTGTTGGTAGAAGTGTATTCTCATTACAAGTATGTTTATTGCTGATCAGTTGCTGCTTGTTTTAAGCCTGCATTTTTGTTCCTCTGTTCCTCTCTACAGGATTTGGAATGCTCTGACTGATAATTATGGTAACGTAATGCCTGTTGACTGGAAATCTTCCCACACCAGAGCTTTGCACTTGCCAACACTGAATCTTTCTGAAAAAGGGGTAAGTTCTGATCAGCAGAAATATCCTCTTTGGATCTTTTATACTCAGTAGGGAAATAAAACAATTTGCATTTGTATAAAAGAGTGTTGTTATTAAATGACTTAGAATATTTTTAGGGCTTGGTGTTATACATGAGAGGTTTTTAAAATAAATCTTCCAAGCATTGATATGTGTTTGGGTTGGAATAATTCGGGGTCAGTTTTAGACGGGCGTTCCATCAGTGTGAGCCAGAGCAAACTGTAAAATGAGAAAGCGTTTCGCGCACAGTCTTTCTGCTGTCTGTTTCAGGTTGAATGCTGTTCTGGGTGAGGGAGGAAAAGAGGTGGGAGTATTCTGATTTAGTTAATCCAGCGTGGACGTTTTTTAGGTTCATCTCATTCTGCAGTCAGGTGGAGGCTAAAGTGGCTTCTTTCGCAGGAAGGATGGCCTAGGAGACGTTGAAGTACAAGAGTTTGTTTTGGTTTTCTTTTTCTTATTTAACAAGCAGAATAGTTGTCTGGGGAGGGAGCAGGGAATAAGAGCTTCAGAGAGGTTTATAGAAAGGGTTGTCCTCAGATGTTCTTAGAAGTGGATTAAAACGCTTCAGGAGGAAAAGCTAGGAAGAATTCCCATCTCCTGGGTCTTCTGAGGAAACGAGTAGCTTATCTTTTAAACATAGTGAAGGTGAGTTATGTTGTAAAAATATCTGTGTGTGTAACCTGAGAATAGGGTAATTCTTTGACTCCTGCCAGCCATTATATAATCCACAGCTGCTTTTTACTGTGTCAGGAGCAAAATTGTCCTGCTGAAGAGGATGCTTTGGGATTCAGCAGGGGAAGATGGCACTTTGGAACTCACTGTCTCAATTTGAATCTGATCATTATCCCTTGAATTCGACTTGTGTTTATTCTAATTTTTATTAGTGCTTGTTCCAGATTTTCTAAGTGTTTTTAGAGTAATTGAATTCTTACATTTAAAGTGAAAAGGCTTACAACCCCCCATGCTGTGACCTTGTTGTGTGACTGAAAAATGCACTGGAAGACTGATGGATTTTGTGATAAGGAACTAGATACAATATAAAGAAATGTTTCATATAGTTTTTGTAAGTTCTTTGCGGGGAGTTATGAAGGAACTACATAAAAAAATGTGAAGTGCTGTTGCTGGATTAGAAACAGATCTTAAATATGCTGCCAGTAGAGGAAAAATCAGTTTACGGATTAAACAAAATCTTAAGTTTTTTCAGCTTTCACTCCACCTGGCGTGCCTTTTGATGTGTAAAGCCCATCTGTTTGGGAGCGTTTGACATACTTTCTTTCTACTTCTCTGTGTGTCAGCAGTATTTCTGGATATGTGACAGCACATATGGACCAGCTAGTGGCTTGTTGTAACTTTCTTACAATGAATACTAACAGCTAAGCAACACTCCCTTGATACGTTGGAAACTAATAATATGCTGTTGGGCTTGTGCTTAAAATATTTCTCTTCCTGTTTTAGCAGGAAAAAAATGTAAGGTGAATGGGGCTGATTCATCTAATCGTTGTTGCTTCACATCACAGATCTGTGAACACTTTTGTACGGCTCTGACAGTGAAAGAAGTAGTAGGGGGAAGTGTGCAGCGGTACAAGGAACAGGATTGCACAATTGCTGGTTCCTTATATTTTTGTTAGATTACTTTATACAGGTCGTTCCTGGTAGAATTGTGAGGACAGAAACAGGCATGGAGTGTGGCTGGGTGGAAGGCCAGGTGGTTCTTTTGGCATCAGCTGTATCTTGGGCTGTTTTAGGTGGTTTATTAGACTAAATTATCAGAATATATTCTGACAGTCTCTCAAAATATTGTTTCTGGAGATGTCAGGAGGGGAAGCTGACCTCCTTCTAGATAAACTGTTATCCTTGCTTACTATCCCATAGCTGTTGTCATAATCCTATATACATGGAAAAACAGTTGAGGACTGCAGACGTAAAGAATGTCAAAACTGGGATGTATCTGCAGTAAGCGAACAGATATGCCTAATGGAGTCCTGTTGCTGCATGGTTATTGGAATTCAGATTCTGGGGAAAAAATGGACATTTGACTTCATTCTAATGGCTAAAAAAATATACAAATTGTATGTTTCCCTCTGTAGGCTTGTTATCTGGGGACGTCAGTAGCATCTTCAAAATAAATCTGAAAACTATTAGGGTTTCTGAAGAAACTGGGAAAATAGGAGGAATTACAGCAAAAATTGAAAAGTGGTATGGTGAGACCTAGGACTTTATATGGCTACTCGTAATGCTTGTAAGTTAGCCCAGAGATCAGTTAAAGCAATTGAGCTTGGAGTGTCAGAGGTCAGGGATTGCAGCTTTTGGGGGCTGGTGGACTTTTCTAGGATGGTTTGGCTGGAATCTAGTAATAGACAAAGTGCAGAACAAAATAACTTTCTGAATAAACTGGAATATCTCACTGTGTGAGAGTAAAATATACCTGACTGATTAAGGTGGGAACTTTAATCCTTTCCTTTACTATCTGTGCATCTGTGGTGTTGAAGGATGAGTGTAATTTGATGGTGCGTATGTGGGAACAGCATTATTTCCACTTTTTACTGAAAAGACCCAGAGATATTCAATAATGTATTTTTAAAATAAGCTGGGGTGATAAGCATGTTTTGTTTTGTAAAACACCTTTTTCCTGTCTTTTATTGCGTGAAAAAGCAGAACTGTAAAAGAACATAAAATAACAGTTTTGTGTAATTTTAGAGATGGGTTTTCACTCCACACTGACAAATGTCTGTCTTCATTTAAGATGTAAATAGCTGCATTGGATTGACTGCCTTCTGTGCAGGTATATCTGCATGTCATTGTGAATATGATCTTTATACGCCGAGGGTATTTAAAGGCTGGCAGCTATTTTAACTTTCTGCAATTATGTTGATTGTTAAGGTACTTCAGTTTCCAGTATTTGACGGGAAGAATCATTGATTCCATTATTATGGGCAGGGAATCTGTTTCATTCTTAAAATTCAATAGTTCACCTTTTGTGGTTGTTTGTTTTTTTATTTGTGTTCGGGGTTTTTTTAATATGTATGTGTATTTATATAAACACACATTTTCCTGTGTTCTAGGTAAATGATAACTTGAACCTTGACCTGTCAGATGACGAGGAGCTGAGAGAACAGTTGGATATGCACTCTATCATTGTTTCCTGCATCAATGATGAACCACTCTTCACAGCAGAGCAGGTAAAGTGTTCAGCAAAGACAGTGTTGTTGATGTAGTATTTTATTTTAGTCTGTAATTATTTTTCCTTGTTCTTCCTTGCTGTTCACCATCGCTAAGCTCCCTGATTGTTCTTTATTTAGATTTGAAAAGTACTCCAGTGCTTCAGGGGAGGTTGGTAGTCCAGGATCTTTCAAATCTTTACATATATGTTAAACCTAGTAGTGTTTCTGACTAATTTATGGTAAGAAATGTATAAAGAAAGAAAAATATTTTTGGAATGTTGGTGGTATCATAGAGTTTGTAGTTTTCCAGCATGACTGTATGGCCATTCATATCTTCACATGACTTTGTGGTTAGTGAGAATTCTTTGGAGTTTTTGCCTAATATGAGAGCAGATCAGCAGTTCTGCTACTAAGCTTTCAAATTACTTGCTGTCTAAAGGCTTCTGTTCCAAATCCATGGATTTACTTGAGTTATCTTGAAAATTGCTCTTCTGAGTAAGGTTAATCACTCTCTGTTAAGATCCTGCTTTAGTAAGCAGATGCAAGAATTTATTTTCTTGTTGTTTAAATAGTTACCTTTGATGAGCATGGTCATTAAGAGTAGAAGAGACAGGATTGTTGAACTGCCTCAGCTCTTCTTACTGTGAGATGGATCTCAGCGATGTCTACACCCTTTAACCATGCACAAGTCGATCTGTTATTTATTCAGCTGTTCAGTTAATAATTTAGCCTGTAGAAATATGGTCATTTCTGTACTGAAAAGTATGCCATTTATGCGCAGGATTTCTGTTCTCATACTTTCTGTCTGGCTCAGATCTTATGTCCAGGGATACAAATCAGCTTCAGCTTATGATGGATCAGTTCACAAAACTTATAGCAGATTTTCAGGTTATTCAGAGCTCTTTTTTATTATTTTTCTTAGAGAAGTGTAGTGAAACTTGGGGGGGCAGGGGGGAGGTAGTTGATTTTTGCTGTTGTTTTGTTTTCCTTCAACTGAATACTCAGGAAAGATACTCCAGCTCACTCTTCAGTTCTCTTAAGCATAACCATGTGCACCTTCACATAGAAATGACTGTAGTTTCAACACACTTCTTGTGATGAGATCACCGTTGTACCTTGAAAAGGTAGGCTTAGTCTGAGAGAGCAAGGATGGGGAGGAAATGTCGATATGATTTTGTTAATTTTCCTCAGTCCATTCTTGGTCTTAGTTTCATCCAGCAGCATCTTTGCTAATTGAAGATACCAAAACAAAACAAAAAACCAAAACCAAAACAACCCTTAAGCTCTTAACAGCTTTGCTTCAAATTGCAGGCCATTTCTCTTTGTGCAGGGAGGGGTTTTGTAAGGATTTTCATTTTTTGAAGGTGATTGAAGAAATAGAGGAAATGATGCAGGAATCGCCTGATCCAGAAGAGGATGAAACACCCACCCAATCAGATCGGCTGTCCATACTTTCCCAGGAAATTCAGACGCTCAAGAGATCCAGTACGAACAACAGCTATGAAGAGAGTAAGTGGTATTTATTTATTTATTTAGTGATTTGCTCTCATGCTTACTGAAAATAGTTTAAGGGGAAAGTTGGGCAAGTATTTGATTTATAGCACATCCTTCGTAAGAAATACCTGCATTCAAAAATACTTTCAGAATGTCCCGAAAGAGTAAACTAGATATAGAACATAAACAGAAGACTTACCTTTGTCAGCTTTCACAACTTAGAATAAAAATAAAACTTTATAGAATTTCAGATGAAAGAAAATATGCTGAAGCTTGATTCGCTGTAGTGAGGTCCCTTCATAGGTAATGTTGGTCATTTTTATTAAACTTCATTAATTTCTGTATTTTAAAGTGGGAGTGGCCTTCTTGAGGCCAGTACACTGTTTAAGATGAGCCAAAATGCTTGAAAGCTATGCAGTAGATAAAGAAAATGGTGTTTCTTTGGTACTGTTTCAGTCACTGTAACATACCTTGATATACACTAACACAAAAATAAGGAAACCATTGGGGTTTTTTGTCCTGTGAAGACCTGGCGTACTTCTCTACACCCCTTCCATTCCTCTTCAAAAAGCTTTAAAGTTAGAAAAAAAACCCACCCAACCCTTTGTATCTTCCTGAATGCAAATGAAATCATCTGTTCTTCCCGATACAAAAGGAAAGGAGAAATTACATGTATAGTGTAGTTGTAGTAGATTGATGTGTATATAAAAAACCTGTGACTAACCAGTTTCTTGGTGGAAATTTGTTGAAATCAATTCTAGGAGGTGATAGGAATACAAAGAGTATTTGCTAGATGATCCCTCTACTTTGGTCCCTCTTACAAAGTTTGGTGCTCGCTTTCCTGTAGTCTGGGTCAGCAAGATAAATTCCGTAGAAGATTCAGAAAACTGGCTGACCTTTTGTGGCACAACTTGCAGTTTCTGCTACACTTCAGATTTATGGAGCAGATTCCATTTTCATGGTTGGACTCTTAGCTGTCTCAGCACATAAATTTCAGGAATGTGAAAGCAAAATGTATCCTTCTCAGCAGGGCTCCCTGCTTTTCTGACAGTTCCGTATGTCCCTGGGTTTGTAGCTAATCAAGCTTGCTTGGTATTTCATATCATGTTTATTTTGCTTGGCCTCGAGCATTCATCTTGTCTGTTGCATCTTTATGGTTTAAAGGACAGCCTTGACCGAACTATGCCTTGAGTTACTTTAGCAGGTAATTTAACTGCTTCACCAGTTTCTCAGAATCTGCTTTCATATCTTTCGGGTCACTATTCTATTAAAAGCTCTTCCTACCTTTTTTTTGTGCGTGAAGCTGCTTCAGCATTAATCTTCATCTCTCAAACTGTTGCAGAGTTTTCCTAGAAACTGTCTGGCTTTTGTAAGACAAGTCAAAGGTGTTAATGTTTAGGATTGAAGGCAGAAAACCCAAGCTTTATTTACTGGTCTGTTGGATAGGAGAAGACGTGTATTAAGACAGTCCAAAAATTAAACCAGTTACAGCTCTGGTAACGCAGGTGAGTCCTTTAGCCTACATAGCGTTAAGATTTAATCCAAGTAGTCTTCTGCATTTAAATTACTGCATTCCCTCACCTGCCTCAGCTGAGTAGTTGTATGGAGCCCTTTTATGGGCTTTGATCACAACAACTGATCTGTCAGGTCTATAAACAAGTCAGGATTGGGACTGGGTAATACACACCTGTGTTTTTACAACAGTTGTTTCTGAGGCTGGTTCTTAAGTGTTGGGACTCACTGGTGCTCTCTCCAGTCATCTTTCACACGAAGAAAGCAGGGGTGCAACCCATGCTTTTCAGATTGTACTTTGTACTGAATGCATATGCAACTTAGATGAATTTTTACCACAGAGTATACTCGGTTTCACAGACTGCAAGGCCTAATTTGTGACTTGAACCCATAGAGCACCAGTTAATCTTGCTGTTGAATTTACCTTTCTTCCCCCTGCTTGTGTCCGAGTTGATGTTGCCATTTGCTATTGCTGACAACGAGAGCTGACTCTGCAAAAAGTTACTGCAGTGCTGGTACCTAGTGTGGTGTGTGCGATGACTGTGAGCACAGCCAAGGTGTGTGTGACAGGCCGAGGCCATAACCTGCATGCTGCACACTTAGAATAGTTTAAACAACAACATAGGTGGCGGATGGCTCAAACCGCTTGAAAATTAGATCCTTAAGCATATGGTAGTGCTACAGTGTTTGAACAGTGTAAGCTACCTGTGGCTTCTTGCCAGAGAATTGCCTTAATAGGTTGCATTGCTTTTTCTTTAGTGAGTGACAAGGAGGTTTCTTCAATCAGTTTTCCCTGCTATAATTTAAGAAAGAAAAATCAAATTCCAGCTATTACCTTTGATGCTCCTGAGAGCTATAGTTTTTGTAGTTTGTGGCCTTATTTGTAGGTTTCAACACTTGTCCATAGGCACTTTCCCTGGTAACTTTTTTTTAGACTAACAACTAGCCATTTCTCAAATGCCAATGAAAATTACATTCTTTGACATAAAAACTGCTGGGACTTACTAGCTTCCTAGGTGTGTCAGACTTAATTGGGAATGGAAAGCAGTCCTCAAGGAATGTGCTCACTGTTTTTAACCCAAGCAAGCCTCAGAACATTTTTCTTGGCCATAATTTCGCTGCCTGTAACACATGACCCAGTAGTACCTTTAAAACGCAAACCTGGAGGGGTGATTTTTGTTTCCAGACTGACATTTTACAGGCTTCTGATTTGACCAGTTCAGTCTCATGCTTTTGCAAAACTATTAATGTTTATTTTTGCTTGAAACCAGTCTGTCTGCTAATTTTGATCTAGGTCCTTGTTTCAGTCAAACACATGCCCTTGTATTGCCTACAATCTCCAGACAAAGAAAATTTGGAGGATTTTGTTGTGTTTTCTAAATGCATTTGAAAATACTACTATAAAAGCTTGGTGCAAGCTTTTGTTGATATGCCTGCATACCTTGGCAATATCCCCAAGAAGATTCCTTCCCTCATAGATTATAGTTTCTGTATTACTATAGGTGAAAAATTCAAGGATCCCAGAAGTGCTGAAGTGTTGATTGTTGTGTCAGAAAACATGGAAACCTCTTACTTTGTAGGTGGAAAGTCATAAATTAACAGAGATGTCAGTATTAGAATTTTAGTGCTTAGTTCAGCTTCCTTAACTACAACATGCTCTTCATATTTGCAGATTGTCTCAGCTTTCGTAGAAATAAGAAAGTTTAACCAACTTCTTGTTGCTAATTTGGTTGCCTCTGTGTTGTGTTTATTCTTCTAGGAGTAGTGTTTTTTTCTTTGTACTTACAAAACTGAATTTTTTGTTTTGAAAAATATCAGAGTACATTTTCTTGTTATTGCCACAAGTATTCTTATGCTTAAAACCTTGATAGATTTTTTTTTTTTAATATGAACTATTTATAGGAGTAAAAAGATTGTCTGTTGCTGAGTTAAATGAACTGCTAGAAGAAATTGAGACTGCTATTAAGGATTATTCTGAGGAACTGGTACAGCAGTTGGCTCTACGAGATGAGTTGGAGTTTGAGAAGGAAGTGAAAAACAGCTTCATTTCTGTCCTCATCGAAGTACAAAACAAGCAGAGAGAACACAAAGAAACGACAAAGAAGAAAAAGAAGATGAAAAACGGTAGTCCTCAGAACGGCAAACAAGAAAGAGGTCATATGCCTGGAACAGTAAGAAGTTCTTTGTAACTATTTATGCATTCAATTTTTTTTTCCCCTATGGTAAGTAGCAGTCCTAGATTATATCAAGATACGTGATACATCTGCTTCTGTGCCTTCATTCGCAGACAAGGTTTAGGTACCTCCTACTGAGATTATTTTTTTCACAAGGACATAGAACATTTTACTCTTATACTCAAAAACCCCTTACTTTTATTGTTTGCAGATTAGCCTGGAATCAACATACCTTTCCTGCAAAAAATACAGTCTTTGGATATACTGCTGTGTTTTCTCTTGCCAGCAAGCAAACTCATTTATCTGTTTGATTTCACTATGTGAATTTTAGGATGTGTGTGCCACTATTAGTCTTGCAGGAAATTCAGTAGTATTGCTGGTGTAGTTGTACAGGTATTTATTGATCATGTTGGGTTTTTTTAGGTAGGGAAAAAGTCTTACCCTGGATCTCTAGAAACGTGTGGCAGAGTTACTACATCCAACGAGAGATGGGGGTGAGGCCAAAGTGCAGTGTAGGTATACAGGGAGAAGATAATTTGGTTTACTCTTTACAGAGCATAGTAACAAAAGGAAAAATGTCTTTCCAATAGGGTTTGAATAATAGGAAGCAGAGAATGAAAGAAATTAGGTTGTTATCTTGTCAATGCAATCTTTTCTTTCTTATCAGTCTAGTGTAATTTGTAAATTACTTAAGTGGAATATGAATGTTAGAATTTCTAAGTGTCTCTTATGGGATGTGGAAAATGTGGTTAATGTATTGTAGATCTTGGCTGAGCCTCAGAAAGAATGCGTCAGTTTGACATCAGAAGGTTTTGGGGTTTGTTTTTTGAACGTTAGGAATAAACGTTGTAATGAAACATTAATTCTTCAGAATCTATTTCTGAACTTTCAGGGATGAGATACCTGTGATAATAACCCAAATGGAGTTCTCATCCTGTCTGTCTCATGAAAAGTCTTTGTGTGCATGGTTGAGTTTTAATGAAGCTCTAAGAAAATACATGTCTGGAAAAATATATCAATACAGAATCATCATCCCTTTGCAAGAGCACAGTGAAAAGCTTAAATGTACTCCTTTTTGGTTCTCGCTCATGGAAAACCAAAAAGTGGTATTCTAATTAGAAAGAAAAATAATGATTTGCTTTTGAAACTTGAGTCAAGTGAATCAGAAGCTACTTGGGTTGCTTTCAAGTTTAGAGATATGAATGATGCTTTCCAGTACAACTGTATGTGGTCCCATATAAGACGTTTTTATATTTGGTTGCTTCAAGATATAGATGTGACACATAGCTTTCTGCGAGGGGTTGGACAAACTAGCTCCTAAATAAGACTGTGGGCTGCGTATGTGTCGTGCCTTTCAAAATAGCTTTCACTGTCATGCAAGCGTCCTTCTTGCAACAATCCATTCTTTCTTTTTTCCTTTTTTATGGAAGTGCTGAGAATGCATACAGATGGTATGCTCATATAAATTGTAAAGGGGGAATTTCTGTTAATAATGTATATCTGTATGTTAATAATGTATACATTAATAATTAACCAAAACTGATAAATTCTCATTTAAATACAAAGCTTGGAAGTAGGGTTAAATTTTCATACTCTTAAGAAATTCAATTTTCCTGTAGATACTGCAATTGAATTTTAATAAATAGAGGTTTTAATTCTTTGTTCTTGATACAGTCTTGAGGTAAATCACTTTCTTAGACTTGTAAAACTTTTTCCTTTCTCACAAGGGCAAACTGGGGAGCAGTTATTAATAGTCAGGGCTTGAAGATGCCAGTTCCTTTAAGGAGGATATCTTAAAAGAGTTGAGATGGCTTTGGCAACATCTGCGTCTATTTACTGACCTCACTGTGCTTTAGAAAGCAGATGAGTACTGTATTCCAGCACATTTTATTTCCCCTCCCAGAACTAAGTATATTCAGATAATTTTGCTGAGGTGTATGCATCACACTGTCCTGTGTCAGCAGCTTGACAATGTCTTCTTTCTGTGTTGTCGGTTGCTGATTTTTATATCTCTTGCTAAACATCAAAATAGTTTGGTTTTGGGTTTGTTTTTTAACCTCTCCAGCCAGCAAAAAGTATTTAAAAGTTCAAGAAAAAAATCTATGGTTGGATTACATATTAATTTTTCTTTACTTGGATTTCGTTATTCTGCATAATGGAGCTTGAAATTAATATGGATGCATTGTTAATTAATTGTGGAAAAATGGGGAATACTAGTTGTTGCTTCAGTTGTGGAAGAGGAAGCACAAAAGCATAAAATGTCCTTTAGGGGTGGAGCTGAAAATTACTACCTCAGAACAGTGTTTCTAGTAGGTGCTTAAAATCTGAAAAACTGGTGTCAGCAGTGTCTCTAGAAGTATATTGCTCAACCACAAATCTCAGAGGAGATCGTACTGTGAACTGAACTTCCAACAATAGTACTTTTTATATTTCAAACTGAAGCAGCCTTCAAAGGCAAATCTTGACCGTTGGGTCTGCAGTGTGAAGATTTTGTTTGATGAAATTTTGCTGCAGAAATACTGTGTAACTGCCCTTAGAAGGTTTGCTTTCTAATTATAAGGGTTAAGTAGGTTAATGAAAAAAATAAAAATGTGCTGAAATGCATCTTAGAGCTTGTCTTTGTCATTCGTCTTTTATAGTCTTGATAAATGCTGATTAATAGTCTTCTGAACTTCTCTCTGTCCCTTTTTTTTTCTTTCTGCTGTGTTTTCACTACTTATAGCGCTTCAGCATGGAAGGGATCTCAAATGTCATACAGAATGGCTTCCGCCACACGTTTGGAAACTCGGGTGGAGAGAAACAGGTGCTGGGCTCCCTTCTCTCTTTCCTCGTGCTTTGCCTACACTTGCGGTAGGAGCTGAGATCTTGGAACTTGACTGTAGCTGAAGATAAATGCTGAGACAGGAGAAAATAGGACAAAAATTTTGGACTGCACTTCCCTGCCTCAGGACTCTGATCAACCTACAGTCTCTTTCTCTCCTCAGCAGCTCGAGACAGTCAGGACTTGATGTCCTGGTGCACTGAAGTAATAACCCTTATTTCTTAGCCCAGACTAAAAGTCTGTTTTGGTGTAGCGGCATCCTTCTAACACACTGCACGTCTGCAAAAATCTCACATCCAATTGAAGACGATGTATCAGGCTAGACAAAACATTTCAGCCTTCAGCATTAAGGACTGGGGTAATATCTCCAACTGAAAAAGGGTTTTGTTTTCTTTTTTTTCTTCAAATGTTCAGAGCTGTTACAACCAAAAAAGAAAGTAGTGTCTGGAAGGTGCATGAACTGCCTTGTATGTCTTTCTGCCTTTGAAAACTGCATGATGTATGCAGCCTGATGTGTGCAACAGGGATTACTGATACAAAATACTTAAGCCATATACAGCTCTGTGTCTTTTCACTGACTGTTTAAATGTTGAAATACACAGCACAGAGACGCAGCTTCAGTGGATATCACTGTAGATGTTACACGTACCTACGTAGCAAGATTCTTCTGCTTTATTTCAGGGCACTGCTGTCAGTATTCGAGTGTTTTTTCAGAGCATACAGTCATTATAAACCCACACTGAGGTGTTTTCTGCTAGCAGGGAAGAGTCAGTTGCCAGTCTGGAGTTGTGCTCCAGAAAAAATGCAAGGACATACAATTTTTTGTGTGCCTTAGAAGGCAGAAGTTCGTACACATGAAGTCACAGCATAAAGCTTATGACAAGTGTGTACGGTTATTTCAGAACTCCTTTCAGTCTTTAATGCCATTTCCTGCCCTTGCTATTTTCTGGGTAGTATTACTCTGATAAGTAGGTGCTTTCCTTTTTAAAATGTGATTCTTTTGTGTGTGTGTGAGACATAAGTGAAAATGGCTTGGAATTTTTCAGCATTTAAGGAGGAATTTCCATTGGAAGCTCTCTTTTCCCATCTGATAATGCAGTTAGAAGAAAACACCACCAACTGCATAAAAGCCATTGAAATGTTGGTAGTTCTTTCTGTGGTCAAATTTCCAGAAGAAATTTCAAAATAGTCATCTTCATTTTGCTTTTTAGGCATGTCAGACAATTCTTATCGGGGCTTACAAATTGCAGCGGTAATTGCTGCTTATCAGATTGTCAGATGTGTTTCAGAAAATATGATGATGCAGTAGACTTGCCATTTGGGTACGTCAGTAAAGCTACACTTCAGTCCTTTCCTTTCCATTATCTGTTATGCTTCCCACCACAATTCAGGGAATGAGTCTTAATATGGCTGTTACAGATTGATTGTTGTTGCAGCAGCAACGTATTGATGAGGAAAAACAAGATGATTTGGGAAACTAAGAAATATTTGTTTTATATTATTGTTATTATAAAGGAAAATGGGAAGGTGGGGTTTACAGGGGAAGGAAACCAGGGAATATCAGTATTTGGTCCAGTGAAATGTGTCCTAGCAATTTGTTGTCTAGGTAAAGGACAGAATGCCACTTAGTTCCGAAGGCTGGAATGCCAACCCTGAGATCTGATTTCTGAGTTAGCACATCCGCTTTCATCTCTGACATTTGCAGATTTAAGAGCCTTACATCTAGCTATTGATTCCGGTAATTTTAGTAGGAGCGCATCTCTCTAATGATACCTGTTAGTTACGTCTGCTGGAAAAGGAATTGGAAATTGGCTGTTGAAGCATGCTTCCCTCTGCTGTGCTGAGTGGATGTGAGAAAAGGCAAAAGGGAAAGGGCAGCAGCAAAGCGCCCTGTGTTTGCGCAAGGTCTTGGTGAGGTGTCAGTTCATCCCGAGTTGCACAGACCTGAGTCTGTCTGGCATTGTGGCAGATGGTGCCATTGAGCATGAGGTGCCTGATCCTGCTCTAAACATGGCAACGGTTATAGCTGCGTTTGGCAATGCTGGCTCCTTCTGCAAAGTGAACCTCTTCACCACAGCCTGAGGTACACTTGACTCCCGTTGAAGTGCCGATACTAGGAGAGAGGGAGACCTTGTGCGTAACGTGGTTTCTGATTGCTGCGTGGAGAACCGCATGTCTCTCAAGTTGGGTGACGGAGGGTTGCTTTGCTTACTGACTTGTAGCTGTTAACCCAGAATAAAGTCCCTGTTAAATTCTTAAAAAAATTGAGGGAGAATTCAGGAAGGTTTTCGTTAGGTAAAATTCCAGCCATTTCAGTACTTCTGAAATGCTGGCCTCTGTAAGAAGAATATACATTCATATAGGCTGCAAAGTGAGATGTGGCCTACATGCATTTAATGGAATAGGAACAGGGTTGCTTTAAGAATTTGAAAATAAATCTTGTTTGCACTGCAGGTCTTATATCTGAAAGATATAAGAAAATTTTTGCCTT